GTACAAATCACCGCCTCTTCAGTGATTTCAGAGGCCCTGTTTCTCTCCTGTGGCTTCTCTGTGGCTATGGTCAATGAACCTTAGTGTGAGCAAGTCATTGAGCCCAGAGGAACAAGGACAGCAACAAGAACAGCCAAAATGTCATTCACTAAGAGAATCATCTTTGCTACCTAATTGCTAAGAGCCTCATTTCTTTTTATTATTATTTAAGGTGATATACAGAGGTGATATCAAGTTTCACAAGTAAGGTAATAAGTACGTTTCTTTTGGGACAATGGTACCCATTTAGAGCCTCATTTCTGATTGCCTTTTGGCAAGCATTCATATGGATCCTTTCTCGGATGTCTGGGCACTTCCCTATCAGCAATTTTCCTATCTTTTCCTTCCTATCTTGTACTTGACCTTGCAGCCCAACTCAGCTTCTTGTCCATAATCAGTATAAGTCCAGATCTCTGGATCTCTGTTCTTTCTGAACAAGTACTTGAGATTCTCCTCACCCCACCCCTATCATTTATCCAGACCATCCCCAAATGGTTCAGTTTATTCATAAACACCTAGGAACTGTCTGGATTTTCCATGACTGTTAGCTGGTCATAGGGAATTCTCCCTAATGCCATGGTATGAATTGAAAGGGGAAGACGTGTCAGTTGAGGGGAAGAGGCATTCTGAACCTGAGAAACTTACACAGCCTGTTTGTACCTTTAGGACCTGCTCACATTGATTCCCCATATATTCTGCTTCCACTGATGATGACGTGTTGCTGTTCATACAACTTAATGGCTTGGTGGGAAAGATAATCCTAGTTGTGATGTCTTATTTGCTTAAGTAGTACAAAAATAAGATTCAAGAATTCATTTTCTACTAGGATCAACAACTTTAAAGGTAGTGCTGGGGGTGTGTGGCATAAGTTGAAAGAAATACATTTTAAAAGTCTGTTATTAAAATAGATTGAGAAACCAAACTCAGAAATTAGGAGTAACAAAGCATCTATAGTAATGATACTATCTTCTCCAACCTTTGTTCTATACTATAAGTGAACACACACAAAATGTTTTCCTCTATACTTCTCCTCTTCCCATATTTGTTTTTCTAGCTACATTATGGACAAAGTCTGTACTCATAACTTCCCATATATCTTTCCTTCTAATTCAGCCTTTGCTTTAATTTTTCCCCCTAGTCATGGGGCTTGAACTCAAGGCCTGGGTGCTGTCTCTCAGCTTTTTTTTTTTTTTTTCTCAGTGCTAGCTCTGCCACTTGGAGCCACAACTCACTTCTGGTTTTCTGGTGGTTAATTAGAAATAATAATCTCATGGACTTTTCTGCTTGGGCTGGCTTTGAACTGCACCCCTCAGATCTCAGCCTCCTGAGTAGCTAGGATTAGAGGTATGAGCCACCAGTATCTGGCCTAGCCCTGTTTTAATCTTAAAACTACTTTATAGGTGATACCATCATGTGAATAAATCATATTGTTTCTCTTTTTGTAATGTTAATCAGATATGTATATTGATCATCGCCTTAACTATTCAATAAGAAAGACAAAGTGATAATCTGTTATTGTTTCATTTTAGTTTAGAATACTGTTTGTTTTATTAATACATTTTATTTAGAATACTTGAGGAATACACTTTTTTTTTTACCATGAGAAATACTATATATAAGGAAAGTCCATATAGATACCCATTCTCACCCTCTTACCAGTTTTCAAAATGAATTGGTGTCTAGCATTCAAAGGAAAGTACCAGTGAAATATTTTTCCACTATGAACTTGAGCATTTGAACATACTTGGTGTTTCAGTAACTTATTGTTATGACGTGTTAGTCTACAGGTGGCCAGTGGGAGCTTATTCAGGCAAATTCCTGAGTCCCTTTGATCTGGGTCTAGATAATGGTCTTTGATAACTTCTTGTACTCTAGTTTAACAGCATGTTCCAATCAGTCTTACACTCACAAACTGTGGAGGACATGGAATTACTTCTTTTCCCAAGATTCTTGTTTGTTTATATAGTACTTAGGAATTGAACCCAGGGCTTCATGCATGCTAGGCAAGCACTTTAGCACTAAGCCACATTCCCAGCCCTCAACAGTCTTTTAGTAGAAAATGAAAATATCTTAGCAAAATACCTTACTTGTCAGGAAGTGCTGGGTAAAACTGCATGCTTACTGCTTCTATTACAAATCTGTCTTCTCACTTCTTAATATTAACAAAAGATTATACTCTACCGAAAAAAATCGTTCAAAAGCATCTAAAAGTTTTCATATTAGCAGGTTTGGTTAAAAGTGAAGGATCAGAAGGAAGTTTTTAAAACTGGCTGATAAAAATTTCTTCAGTATTTCCCATCTCCCAACTGTGTAGAGTCAGAAATTTGAGAAAAGAGAAGTTTTCAAAAAGTATGCTTGAAACTTAACAATGATGCCATTCATAATCCTTTTGAATTAGAAAGGGAGAAAGGATACTTTTAGAGTAGAAAAAATCTGACAGATACTACCTTAGCCAAATGATCAAAATTAGCATCACCAATAAGTTACTGTCCTTTATCTCTCAAGGTGATTGATAGAGGGCACACCATTTGTGAACGTTCTTTCCAAAACTACATTACCTGATTCATGAGGGAACAAGAAGGCAAACCTAAGCTGAGAAACATTCTATAAAATTTTAAACCTATACTGTTTAAGTCAAAGTCATGAAAAATCTTTCACAAAACTAACATGAGGCTGGGAATTTGGCTTAGTAGTACAGTGCTTGTCTAGCATGCATGAAGCCCTGGGTTCAATTCCTCAGTACCACATAAACAGAAATAGCCAGAAGTGGCACTGTGGCTCAAGTGGTAGAGTGCTAGCCTTGAGCAAATGAAGCTTAGGGACAGTACCCAAGTCCCAGGACTGGCAAAACAACAAAACTGAGATAACAGGTAACTAAATACAAGGTATGTTCCTGGGATTGGGGAGGAATGAGCCTGCATCAAATACAATATCCAGATAACTGGCAAATTTGAAAATAGTCTATCTGTTAGATACTAGATTTCCAATATTAAATTTCCTCATTTTAAAAAATAAAACTATTGGGCTGGGAAGGTGGCTCAGCGGTAGAGCACTTGCCTTGCATGCTTGAGGGCCCTGGGTTTGATTCCTCAGCACCACATAAGCAAAAAAGAAAAAAGCCAGAAGTGGCGCTGTGACTCAAGTGGTAGAGCACTAGCCTTGAGCTGAAGAGCTGAGGGACAGTGCCCAGGCCCAGAGTTCAGGCCCTACGACTGGACCCAAAAACAAAACAAAACAAAAATAATAAAAATAAAACTATTGCCAGGCGCTGATTGCTCATGCGTATAATCCTAGCTACTCAGGAGGCTGAGATCTGAGGATCCAGATTCAAAACCAGAGCATGTATGAATGTCTGGAAGATTCTAACCTCCAATTAACCACCAAAAAGCTGGAAGTGGAGTTGAGGCTTAAGAGTAGTAGAGTGCCAACCTTGAGAAAGAGATTAGAGACAGTGCCCAGGCCCTGAGTTTAAGGTCCAGGACCAGCACACACAAAAAAAATTTAATGTAAAATGCTACCATTTGTAAATATCAAATTACAGTATTATTTTTTGGCACCTGTGTATCAATACCTAGTGACAGACCAAAAAAAAGTTAACCAAAAAATATGATACTTGTACACATGAAATTTTGCACAGCTATTAGAAAGAATATATAATTTGCAGAGAAATGGATGGACCAAGAACAAATCATGTGAAGTGAGGTAACCCAAGCACAGAGACACACAACGCATGTTTTCTGTCATGTGGAAGATAGATCTAAAATACACTGGGACATAATAAATTCTACAGTCTCTAGGCATCACACACAGTGAGACCAAAGGAGGATACTTGTAGAGGAAAGGAACAGAAAGGCACAATGCCTGTGTGCATCTGATCATACAAAATAATATTCATTGAAATGAACTCCAGGCAGTTGAGGTTTTTCTTTTTTTACTGTTTCTTTTTGTTCTTTTTCTTCATTTATGTGCCTTTGAGCACATAAGGGGAGGCACAGAAATGAAGGGACCAAAGGGTAAACAAATGGTCACTGGACACTGTTGAAAATGAACTATACAACTTGTGGGTAGGAATGGGAGGGAAAAACTGGGAGTAAGGGAAGGGTGATATTGTCCAAAAAGAATGTACTCTTTTCATGCCTGTAATCCTAGCTACTCTGGAGGCTGAGATCTGAGGATCACAGTTCAAAGCCAGCTGGGGCAGGAAAGTCCGTGAGACTCTTATCTCCAATTAACTACCAGAAAACCAGAAGTAGCACTGTGGCTCAAATTGGTAGAATACTAGCCTTGAGCGAAAAAGTTCAGGAACAGTGCACAGAGTTCAAGCCCCACGACCGACAGGAAAAAAAGAGTGCTTGTTGCCAGGCACCAGTGATCATACCTATAATCCTAGCTACTCAGGAGGTTGAGATCTGAGCATCATAATTTAAGGCCAGCCCAGGTAGGAGAGACTGTGAGACACTTATCTCCAATCAACCACCAGAAACATCAGGAGTAGAGCTGTGGCTCATGTGGTAGAGTGCTGGCATGGGCAAAAAAGCAGCTCAGAAACAGTACCCAGGCCAGGTGGACCACAAATGTGTGAGTTTGTGTGTGTATGTATATGTTTATGTATGTGTATGTATGTGGTTAAGGTAGATATTTTCTGATTTGGTTAGATTTCTAAGATCTCTTACTAACTGCAAACAGCTTGCTTCAAATACAGTATCCTTTTTTTAATCTTTAAAAGCACATTGTGAACATTTGTATTGGGCAAAACACCATACAAAAGCCAATGAAGCTTAATCACCCTGGGAGGAGTGAACTTATACTATTCTATATTTATTTTATACTCTTGTATCTTAGCACTTTCAAATTGGAGGTAATGTTAACGTGTTTCTATATAAATGAATGTGGATTACAATTTAAACATAGAGGAATGGCTATGATCTTATTAGTAAAGATGATGTCCTCTTTTCTCCTAGCTGATATGCATTCAGGATGGTTACCTCTCCCTGCTGACAGAAACTGGAGAAGTTCGTGAGGATCTTAAATTGCCAGAAGGTGAACTTGGCAAAGAAATAGAAGGAAAGTACAATGCAGGTGAAGATGTACAGGTAAGACCTATGGGAGAATTGTGTCTTAAAAGGAAAAATAAGTTTGCTCCTATGTTGAACCCAAAATATATACATATATGAAAAAACATACAAGGCCATATCTATATGTATATAAATCATATATACACACACACACACACACATACACACAACTGACTAAAGTATGTATGCTGTACAGGAATAGATTCCATGGTATAACCCCTTTGAGCATAGTAGGAAGTTCAAAATGAATACAGGAAGCTGATAGATCTTGACTGAGGTGGGGTGGAGGCAAGCAAGAGAGAGGATAGACAAATAGGAAGAGTGGGGGAATAATAATATACATATGGGAAAGTGGAATTAGAAAACAGGGGAAAGGATGAATAGCAGCAGAGAATGATGGAAGGATGATTGTGATCAAGATGCATTATACACATAAATGGTCATGTCACATCTGAGGGAAGCTGGAGGAGGGCACAGAATCAGGGAAATGGGTTAAAAAAAAAATACAACAGAGGGGCCCAACAGCTGCATTAGACATTGCTGAATGTGAACTAAGCAACTCAAGGGCAGCGATGGAAGGGAAGGAATGAGAGAAAGGGAACAGCTTACAGGTTAAAATGTGTTTGTGACTTTAGCTAAATATTACTGTCCCACAATACTGTGAAATTTGTGAAAAATTATGTAATCAATTTCAATAAAGAAAAAAAAATGGGGCTGGGAAGGTGGCTCAGTGGTAGAGCGCTTGCCTTGCATGCCTGGCCCTCGGTTCCATTCCTCAGCACCACATAAGCAAAAAGAAAAAAGCCGGAAGTGGTGCTGTGGCTCAAGGGGTAGAGCGCTAGCCTTGAGCTGAAGAGCTGAGGGACAGCGCCCAGGCCCAGAGTTCAGGCCCCACGACTGGACCCAAAAAAGAAAAAAAAAATGGTCTTGTCACACTGAAATCTCCTTGTACAACTATTTGAAGATAATGTTTTAAAAGGGGGAGGGGGAGACCGTGAGCTTAAACTAGCATAAAACACTAATGTAATCAACTGCAATGTATGAAATGTACCCTAAAAAGATAAGAGAAATATTGAAAATAAGGCATTTCCCTTCACACCCTTAAAGACCCATTACCAAAAAAAGGTATCGAAATTTGGTCTTGCTGCATTGACAATGTCAGCTTTATGTTTGTTGTGAAAATTTGTATATGAACTGTTCTTTCTTTCCTGTGTATGCCTATACACATTTGAACTCAAGTCTCACCATTGATATACTTCCACTTGAGCTTTGTCTGCAGTCTGGCATTTTGCTGGTGAATTAGAGATGGAGTCTCACAAACTTTTTCTTTTTTTTTTTTTTTTTTTTTGGGTCCGGTCGTGGGGCCTGAACTCTGGGCCTGGGCGCTGTCCCTCAGCTCTTCAGCTCAAGGCTAGCGCTCTACCACTTGAGCCACAACGCCACTTCTGGCTTTTTTCTTTTTGCTTATGTGGTGCTGAGGAATCGAACCCAGGGCCTCAGGCATGCAAGGCAAGCGCTCTACCACTGAGCCATCTTCCCAGCCCCCTCACAAACTTTTTCTACGTCGGCTGGCTTCTAACCTCCATCCTTTAGATAGGAATACAGGCATGAGCCACTGGCACCCACCTTTGCAAATGATCTATTCTTCAAGACTAGAAAGGATACTACAAAGGACTCCTAAGTAGTAGAGAATACTCTTTGTTGCATCTTCTAGTTCTTCCCCCTTTCCTTGGAAATTCTCCTTCAGAAAAATATAGTTTGTTTTTGATAACGTCTCTCAAAACTCAATATAAATCCAGGCACAAGTGGCTCAGGCCTATAACCCTTGCTGCTCAGGAGGCTGATATCTAACAATCACAAAGCCAGCCAGGTCAAGAAAGTCCATGAAGCCGATGCTGGTGGCTCACGCCTGTAACAAATCGCAGTTCAAAGCCAGCCCGGGCAGAAAAGTCCATGAGACTCTTATCTCCAGTAAACCATTCAGAAAACAGGAAGTGGTGCTGTGGCTCTAGTGGTAGAGCTCTTGCCTTGGGCTGAAGAGCTGAGGAACAGCACCCAGGTCCAGAGTTCAAGCCCCATGCCAACCAAAAAAAAAAAAAAAAAAGTCCATTAGACTCTTTTTGTCTAACCACCAAAAAGCTGGAATTGGATCTGTATAGCATTCGTTTTGAGGAGGGAAAGCTACCTGCAAACCTCAGTACCAGCACATGAAAAAACTCAGTGTATGCAGAACATCTCCAAATACACAGTATATGGTGAACAAAATAGAACGTGTATATGTGTTGCCTTCCAAATAACGTTTTGCCTGTATTTTTTTCCTTCTAGGTGTCTGTCATGTGTGCAATGAGTGAAGAATATGCTGTCGCCATAAAGCCCTGCAAATAAATTGGAACATCAGGCATGAGCGATTCTTAGGTCTGGACATGTTGTACAGATCTAAAGTTTGCGTCTACATAATTGTCACCAAAGCTATGGCCCTCATAAGCAAGCAACCTCATTCTTTTTATTGTTTTGAGATTGTGCTTGGTTAGTTTGGCAGGCATTTTTTTTAAATAGGAATCTTTTCTATATCATTCCTGTGGTTTTCAGTGTGAGAGTAAGAAACAGACAAGACAGTTGTAGCAGATATGATTTTGTCTGAACAAACTACTCCTGAATTTTAGCTAAATGGTTCATAAACCAGGGTTTCAATTCAAACTATGTAGCATTAGTGGTACTGAAGTACCACATTGAGGTTGAAATGCTCTATATTCATTTCAGACTTGATATCCTAGAGTACATAGACTGGGTTGGAATTGTCACCATTTGAACAAATACAAATACTTAAAAGTCATGTTATCAAAAAGAGTTACCTTGGTGGCCACATGTAGCCACGTGAATACCTCAGTCATGCCATTTCTTTGCCAGACTGTTGGCAGACTTAATGCAACCTTATTTGATTTTGGTTCCTGCTTGGGACAATTGAGTTGTAGGGGTGAATATGAGTAGGTCCGATTACAAAGAGACAAAGGCAACAGTAGAGGAGGTTATTAAACTGTAGGTTGTTTATTTGAGACTCTTGTTTTTTGTGAATTTTTTTTTGCTGGTTCTGGGGCTTGAACTCAGGGGTTGGGCTCTGTCCTTGAGCCTCTCTATGCTCAAAGCTAGCACTCTACCACTTGAGCCACATCACCACTTCCAGCTTTTTCTGTTTAATGTGGTACTGAGGAATTGAACCCAGAGCTTCATGTATGCTAGGCAAGCACTGTACCACTAAGCCACATTCTTAGCCCTATTTGAGACTCTTGTAAGCAACATAAGAACTAGAATGTGGAGCCTGTGTTATGTGTTTCCGCACATGTACTTCTTGTCCACCTGTCCTAGGGCTTGATTTTAGGGCCTGGGGCGCTTTGCTGGGCTTTTTTTGTTTGGCTTAGGGCTAGCATTCCTCCACTTGAGTCACAGCTCTACTTCTGCCTTTTATTTGGTGGTTAATTGGAGAGTCTCAGGACTTTTCCTGACTGGGCAGGCTGCAAACCACAATCTTCAGATCTCAGCCTCCTGAGTATCTAGACTTATAAGCATGAGGTACGAGGGCCCCGCCTGGAAGTGGCTTTCTTTTGTTCTTTTAACCTTTGCCCCCAAGCTCAACTCCCTTTCACCCAGCCCCCTTGCCAGCATGGAAAGAAAGGGTTCACCGGCTTTGGATACAATGCAGTACTTTTTGTTGATTATTTATTAGCAACCACACTTCCCAACCATTTCTGGGTAGGTTTGTGTGTATGCATGCATGCATGCACATGCACACTTGTGTGCATGCATGTATGCATATATGCATACGCTGGTGCTAGAGTGTGAACTCAAGGCCTGAGCTGTCCCTTAGCTTTTTTGCTCAAGGCTAACACTCCACCACTTGAGTTAAAGGTCCATTTATAGCCTTTTGCTGGAAAAGTCCCTAGACTTTCTTGCTAGGCTGGCTTCAAATCTGAATCCTGAGATTTTTGCCTTCTGAGTAGCTGATTATAAGCATGAGCCACAGGTGCTCAGCTAGGTTTTTATGGCATTAAAATGTTTGTTGGAGTAAAACTGAATTCTTGATTTAATTTTGGAATTATAACTTTAAATCTGTTTATTATATTGTTTATGTGTTTCTGAAGTGAAATGAAGATGGGTCATGAAAGAAATACTACTTTATTTGAAAATTATGATTTAATTTATCTTGAGTATATGTGAGGATTTTATTGTTGTTGTTCTCTTGTGTCTTAACTCAGTTACTGACAGGAAACAAAACTAGGGAAGAGTTCCATAGTGATTTCTTTCTGGAGTATTTCAGCTGACACCTTGGGCTTCGTCTTTTGGATGGTGTTGGTATCATTTCCTGAATCTTAGACTTGGCTCCAGGGTCTATAGGGAACATTGACTCAATAGTAATCATTATATTGGAATGAAAATCATAAAGAAGTCACCAGTAAAATCGCAGTAAAATTTTAATTGGATAAGATTGGCTCTCAGATCTCTTCTCATCATGCCTTGACCACCTACAAGAAAATATATCTACTAGTGTAACTCATCAAATCAGTGTCTTGAAATAGACTTAGGAAAACAAGAAGATCCCGAGCTTTTACTTAATTTATACTTTTTAGTCTTGTGTTAGCCTCAACAGACCAATTTTGAGAAGTAGGATACCTTAAGAGAAGTTAAAGGAAGAGTATTCCAAAGCACAGGCAATGCTGAGCGTATCATTGATTATAGTATGACATCTTGGCTTCTGCCCATTTTTAAAGCACAATTAGGAATTAGGCTAATTTCTTTCCTGTGTTCTATTTAAGTACTACCTACTGCTCTAGCTTTTTTGTATTCTAATATGTATCTTACTTGTACTGGTTGACATTGTTAACTACAGGAATTCGAGAAAGTTCTTAATCTGTGCTGCTTGCTGGTCCACTCATCTGACCCAAGGTAATCAATCATACATATTAGTGTTCTTATTTAGTACTAATTCTGGACTAGCATGTCCTGTTCCTCCTAATTTGTCAAATGTTGCATAATCAAAATTTCAATCTCAGTGTTAGAGTGTTCCAAGTTATAATAATGCATCTCCAGCTCCATACTTTGAATGGCAGAAGTTATTTATGCATAAGAATTTCATCTTAAATACTGTCTGAAGTGTATGTACTCTAACATATAAGCATAGCTTTTAAAGATACTGTTGATTTTCACCTAAGTCAATAGGTGTTTCTCTAGAACAAAACATTTAATTTAGTAAAGCTTTATAAATTATATTCAAAGGAAACAGGGAATATAACCTTTTTTAACATAGAACAGAAGTGGATTCATTCTTGATATTAGAGAAATGTTACAAGTTGATTCATAGTATTGTACTTTTTTGTAGCACACGTTAAATATCACAAGTTACCATATGTAGACTATAGATGTCATGTTAATAGATTGTATAATGATGCACTGTTTTGTCTATGTTCACCAATTTGTAGACAGTATTAATAAGTATAATCCTATTTCTTTTTAGAAATAGAATTTATTTATACTGTGAAGACTGTTATGTTTTATTTGCTACAGTGTTGTATCCCTGCTGACCTAGAACAAATTCTTACTGCTTTGAAATGGCTTTACATCATAAGCATAATTCTGTTTCTTCCCATGTTCCCCTCCAAGGGCTGCCAGTCACTTAAAGAAATTGTGACCAACAAAGCTCTTGACTCTGTTTCCCCTTAATGGTATAAATTTCTGTACCAGTGTTTTACGGTAATTAACGAAGACTCCTGCAGCCAGACCATGATTTCTTTACCAAGAGATGCTGCAGTTAAATGTTCCCACTGTAAAATCTGGGGGCACAACTTTTCGTTACAGCACAATATGTATGTATGTACTCGTACAGCGTTGTGTGTTCTTTTCCAAAGTCCATCCAACTTTTAAAAGTACTGTAGTCTGGTAGTGCCTCAAATGTTGGTCATTTTCTTTTAAACTCACAACTTTTCCAGAGTTTGATTTTGTACTTTGAGATTTCTCAATTAGATTATTTCTAGTTGAGCAGTAATTGGAATGCATTTTTCTCAGGGCTGTGTGTTCTAAGAGCTGAAGTTTTATTGTTTTAAAACTAGCTGCCTGCAGGTATATTGCAAGTTTTCCTAACGTTGTAATACTGCAACACAAACTCATTTTTTAAAAGTCCTTAATGTCAGTACATTTAAACCAAGTGGTTAAGAAAAAATGGAAACAGTAGCAGCTATACTGGAATCTTGCCATATTTTTCATTTTAAAATAGAGTTGGGTGGTCTTAACCCTATCCTTGATAGCATTCTTTTTTGGCATGGACCCTAAAGATAATTTTGAAGCCAGACATTGATAGAATGGTTCTCAAACGTATTTAGGGACAACAGAAAACACAACATTCTTTGGGGTACCTAAAAATGTTTACATACTGAATTATATAATATAAACTAGAAAAGAACACACTGAGAAAATATGGCTCTTGAGCAGTATATTTACATAACTATATTGCATGGAGAATCAGTTTCCATTTTTCCAATGTTATTTAGGCACATTTCGTAGTGGTCAAGCCTTTTTTTTTTTTTTTTTTGCTAGCATTCAGATATACCAATGTGTAAGAAAAATTCATGATGGAAAAATCTTGAGAAAATTCAGTCTTTAAGTTTTGGGTTTTTTTTTTCTCTGAATAGGGTAAATGGTATCCTCATTTGATTTTAACTGGGAATGTGTTTCTGTAGAAACATGACTTGAAGTCATAGTCTAATTTAATGTTTTTCATTAAATGAGCATCTCAATCCCAACTTAACCAAGTGAGGTCAAGTGCCTGCAAGTGCTGTAAGCATCCAGTAAACTTGTTCTCTTTATGTGAAAGACATAGCAATGCACATCAGGCCTTCATCTACTAGAAACACACTTATTGCCAAATTTTTCTGTTTGCTGTGATTTCCTTTCATTACAATAATGTATTTTCCAATGAAAAGAGATTCTTATATAAAGTCTCTCAAACTATTCTGGATATTGGTAGAATTTATTTTGCCTTAGTGTACGATTGCATTTTTTTAAAAAAAAAAACCACTGGGCATCGCTGGCTCAAGCCTGTAATCCTAGCTACTCAGGAGGCTGAGATCTGAGGATCACGGTTCAAAGCCAGCCCGGGCAGGAAAGTCCATGAGACTCTTATCTCCAGTAAAACCACTAGAAAACCGAAGTGGCGCTGTAGCTCAAGTGGTAGAGTGCTAACCTTGAGCTGAAGAGCTGAGGGACAGCATCCAAGCCCAGAGTTCAAGCCCCATGACCGACCAAGAAAAAAAAAACCTCTCTAAACCATATTCAGTGATGACTGAACAGCTTATCATTAAGTCATAGTTTTGTTCTTTCTTGGGAAAAATTCCTTATTTTGGTTACTATCTACTATTAACACTTGTGTGTATTACAAAGGATACTGAAAGTTACAAGTTCCCAACTATATGATGCAAGCTAGTAGTTTCTGTATGATTAGGCAAGAAGGTATGGTGTAACCTACTGGCACTTTCGTAGTAATCCCTTTTATTTATCATAGGTATAGGAGAATTCCTGCTTTTACTTGCAGATTCAGATGTTTTCGCTA